TGTGTCAGAGGTGGTGAAGCTGTGGGGAATTTTGCGGTATTTGGAAACAACGCAGAAAATCCAAGTAAGCTATACACTGGTCCGATGTCCATGGATACTTTGCAACGGGCATTAACAACAGATAAAGCGAGGGGCGAAACAGAGGATGAAGTCAACTTGTTTCCAGCATTCCCGGGATGCATGGATGATGCCAACGAGGTTAAACTGGAGGGACAGAAACGAAGAAGAGAGGAATAAAATATGGAGATTGTATCATCGAACACTTTGATCGTTGTCTTTTTACAGGGATCCCTCAATCGGTTCATTACAGTTACATCGTATGTCATCGTATGACAATCGGAGCTGTATCGCCGATGATCAGTTTCGATAAAACAATATGTGTAAAAGGAGTTTATAACGATTTAAATAAATTCCTTATTCGATGGCTCAACATAAAATACGACTGATTGCTGATTTATATACATATCTATGGCTTATTCCGGAGTGTTGCAAACTCGCAAAACTCCAAACGATAAAATAGGGTTAATTAAGAGATAGAGCGTGTCTCTGTATTCCCCTCTCTTATCTTTAAAATACTACTTATGAGGGAATGGGAATAGCAAATCACATCTCTGGACTTAGTGAATCATACAAGTTTGCCATACAAGTTTGTCAAGTTTAACCTGTTTTATGTTAGTTCTTCTCTTTCTCATGAATTTTTACGACGTTGTACAACTCATGATCAGAAACTTTATTCCGTGCTCTTCGACGGTTACCCACACACAATAATAAATCAAGCTAACATGTTAATTTGAGCGAAAAACAATGGTTTAAATGCATGACTAAAGAAAGACAACTCTGTCCAATCATTAGCTTTCCTCTTATTGAGAGTGCAACTCAAATAACAACTGTCAAATAAATTTGTCATAACAATATTTTTACTGAAAGTTAAAAAGCATTACAAAATCGACTACTTAAATTTTTGACATATATTTAAAGTGCCTTTCTAAGAAATATCGGTGAATTCTCGGAATTTTCTGAATCTTTCCTTTTTTTCTTTTGTTTCTTCCTAAGCAAGCATTGGTAGTTTGACTGGTTTAGTCATTCAAAATTTTAAAAAATGAAAAAACAAAAAAAGGTTTACGAAATTAAGATTAAGGAACAGCCATCAACTATTTAACAACACGCTGTCAGAAATAAGAGTCGCAATCAAATATGTTTGGATTATGAACCTTAATTCGCCATATATTGCAAGTGCTTTTTTCGAACAAATATCGTTGAATTCTCGGAATTTTCTGAATCTCTTGTACAGGCAATAATTTCTTCCTAAGCAAGCATCCATAGCTTGACTGGTTTAGTCATTTCGATATAAAAAAAATACAAAAGCCTTACGAAATTAAGATTATGGAACAGTCATTAACTATTTAATAACACGCTGTCAGAAATAAAAGCCGCGATCAAATATGATTGGATTAAGAACCTTAACTCGCCAAAAAACTTCTCGCAACTATTAACATCAAACAGGTTATCTTGACCTATATTTCATGGGTTACCTTAATTTTGTCTTGGTGAACTGTTGCCTAAATTTTGTGTTCGTGAAGGTTTTTCTTTCGCTTTTAATTGTGAGTAACCTCACTATTCAGAATGAAGGAGTCTTTCTTAAATGTTTCATCATCACTCTTTGTTATTGAGTTAATAATCTCCACCGTCACAGTTTACAGATTACACATGGAGAGTAAAAGTAAGCATACGATTTTGAATATTCATAAATTAACCGTGCATAAGCATCATCAAGATAATTTTCCAATCCAAAATTTCTCTTTTAAAAAGGGCAAATCCGTTTCAGCGCCAACAAAAATTACAAACTGAGTTATGCAATAAAAGTAAGATAGCCTAACAGTAGATATTTGACCCGTCAAATGAAAAAGGTTGTAGTGGATAGGAATAAAAAACACGTGCTAGGATCATTGCAGCTCAAAATGTTACGTTAAAGTCCTTCGCTGTTCATTAGGTTTCTATTTGTTTATAATTCCTTTACCACTGATAAAAAAATATATATATTTTTAACAGGTAGAGGAGCAATCATCATCCAGTGAATCTTTCAGGCCACTGATGTATCTCTGAGAGGCCAAACATCGGCTCAATGCAATGACTCTTTGAGTTATAAACGCTCTCTTCCTCGAACAATTAAACTCTTTTTCATTTGCTGTAGTCTTGTGCATGGCTTTGGTTCTCTTCAGTGGTGTATCCGAAATATCCGATTTATTTACCCGTTTGTTCATCCGACGATATTCGATAATATTTGATTACTAAGAGTTTCTTTCAAAAGTTATGAAAGTTCATCGCGTCAATATGTCGTCTTTGGTGCGAGTATGACTGCTAAACCTTTCTAAATTTTTAGGCATCCTCTGCAAAAAGACAACGTGAAATGATTAAACTCTGCGTTTTCTGGAGAACGTGAACGGTGACGGCTATTTTTTTAAATTTATATTTTTAAGTTAACGCTGCGTTCTACATTTAGTTTCGGGATGACAATGAGAAACAAACTAAATTACTTTAGATTATCACCAGATTCTCAGGCAAAATATAATTTTATGGTTTAATCGACGTTGTCCACTGCTAAAGAGCTGGAGTAGGGTATTTCGATAATTCAGGAGGTCATTTTCGGAGTTGTAGTTAATAGACAGGGCGACTTAACGCAAAACAACGGAACGTACTAAAGTAAATTATCGGATAAAATGTTGGCTACGTAAAATCATGGCATTAGTGAATTTCTAGATAACTAATACTGTCCAAAAGCAATTTTAAAAAGTGTCAAGTTGGCCATCATAAACTCGTGAAGTGGGATTTGATGGTAGCTTGAAAAAAAAGTGCTAAAATCTATGCAATTCGTTATTTTTCCCGGACACTCAGCTTTGTACCAAACGTTGGCGATGAGAGTTTAGTAGAGACAACTTTACATTTAAGGTTTTTTGGGTTATTATCAACAGTTTGTAATTATTTCCAATTCATACAATTTTTTTTTTATCTCAACCTCCATTAGATATTTTTTTTCAAAGCTATGTTAGAATTTATGAAACATATCAAGTACTTGTTAACCTCAAGAACTTCAAATATTTCTCGGACTTCTCAGGGAACAGGTTCTGAATGGGGTGATGGCTTTTACGCCTAAGGATTAAAATTTTGCGCGTTTTACAAATAGCGGTTGATTTCTTTCTGTGACGGTTGGAAACAAAGTTTTACGGTTAAGTGTTTAACAACTAACGTTTAAAATTGTCAATCCTTGACGCACGACGGCAAATTAACCTTTCTTGGCCATTAAACGGCTGACAGTTAACTCCATTGAACCCGAAGCAAAGTTAAAAGAAATAAACCTTAGATATGAACGCGAATACACCTCTTTGCAAGACCCAGAAATAGTACAAAAACCAAAAAGAAAAGGTGACAGTAACACCCTGGTAAGAAACGCAACTATATGTTTGTGTGAAACATCGGTTACCTTGACACTCCTATCATCTATCCTATCTCATCCTGTCAAACTTTCTTTTTGTTTCTCTTTTTTTTTCTACTGGGATCCACCTTCACACCTTGTTAAACCTGCTTCTTTCTTATAAAAATAGGTTCTACGATTTAGTTTTTATCCGTCGGTAAACTCGAGCAAAGAGCTAAGTGAAGTTATTTCGAAGGGCAACTGACTGAGGTTATTAATTAAACATGAGCAAATGTTTAAAATATGAGGTGTTCAAAGCCCTTTTAAGGGCGGGGTCATGACTAGAACATTAAAAAAATTCACTCAATGTCTAAAGAATTAGTTGAGTGCACTCTGTATAGCGAAATAGTTATTTTTCTACCGTGTGATTGGACCATCTGTTCAACCGGCAAAAGTCTACCAAAAAATTTTGGCATAAGAAATTTGTTACTTGTTAACTATTCCATTCGTTTTCGTCAACTTGCGAAGTCTAAACCTTGCCTGACTTGGCTTTACGGCCGAGATGGACGCCATAATTGTAAAGAGTTTGCTCTTCCTGCTAATATTTGGACTGGTAGAGTCTAACGTGGTGGAAGGGGGGCCACACCCGATGAAACACAAAACCGGTTAGATACAAGATACATTTTCTATAGACTCCAAGAACTTCGAAAATAGCAAAAATAGAGTGAGGACCTTTCTATAATAATTTTTTTTTAACATCTTTAGGTAAGAGGGACGGTCGGTTTCTCATTGGGAACAGCTTAAAGGCACACGATGTACCAGGATTGCGTAAAAGTGTCCAAAATGATTGCGAGAACACTCACGTCAAAGAGTTCTTTCCTAGTGGGACACTGCCAGTGGGTTTACGTGATAACCAAGAAAGAATGGTCCTCATTTGCCAACAGAAAAATAGAAAGAAATTCAGCCTGGAAAAAGAAACCTTCTACACATCGCTTTTCGATCAAGGTCGGGGAATTCCGGTATATTCAGCCTACAAACTCACATCAGACAACACGAATTATGAACGGAGATGTCGCCCAACATGGCAAGAAAACGAAGGTATACTGAAAAATAAATAACAAATACCAAATGAGGGGGGAGGGCTCCATTCAACTTCCAACCCTTGTACCACGATTAGGTCTCAATTAGCTTGCGCTCTACAGGTTGAGATATAGGAAGCACCGAGAGGCTGAGGGTCACAGAGTCATCAGTGTCTTAGGGCTACTGTTAAGTGTTTTTACCCTCTCTAAATAAAGCCTATTATTATTAGAGGCAATGCAACAAATTAGTGGCGTATTAACATTAATAGCTTATATATTGTAGTTACAGATTATGACCACCTTTTCATTGTAGTTGTATATGCCTGTGCGCGCTTAATTTACTTCATCTACCATGGTACCTGATTAACCATTGATCCACCTTGCTACACTTGATTGTAAGTAACACAAACCGCTTTGCTATAATTGACCAAGCCTAAATATGCAAAATAAGACCTAAAATGTGACAAAAAGAAACCTACGAGATAAGACTAATTTGAAAAAGCTACAAGAACACGAAAACTAAACGAAGCAAACACAATTACGTGATCTTGGGCTTTAATCTCATGTCGTGTTTTCCATGCTGCAAACTTGTTTCGCCACGGGACTCTCAGGTAATCTCGTCCTATTTCACATAGAATAACCACATGCACGATGAGTACAAGTGATAATTCCTCCACTACAAGAGAAAACTTTCCCTGATAGAAAGCTAATAATCAGCAATTAAGCAAGCCTTAATCTATCTAGAATTGTGGATCTTGAATTTGATGAAAATGGCTTGATGGTGACGATGATGATGATGGCAGATGATTGATTTGAAACAAACTCTATTGTTAACTTATGAAAACTGAACGCAACTAGAATATAGCGGAAATTTGATTCCTGTGATTTTCTGATCTTCACCAAAAGTGAACAATTTTCACAAAGTTGAGCTCAACCGACAGAGGAGCCTTCAGTGATGAAACAAAGAAGTTTTCATTTTAAATTTATTCAACCCCATTTAATATTATAGTAAATAGAGGGTATTGAATTAACCACCTTTTCTCCCTTTTAAAGGTATTAGGAACCAGGTAGGAAAAGACACATACCCACCGGCACCTTGGCAAAGAGGCCACTTGGCCCCAGCACACACTTTATCAAGTGACAAAGTGGCCTTTCGTTCTACTTTTAGATACACGAACGCCTTTCCCCAGCGTCCATCTTTTAATGCTGGTGAATGGTCCAAGTTTGAGAAAAGAATACGAAAGTATGCAGAAGTGTGCACTAAAGATGACAAAGGAGTGCTCTATCTTTTAAGTGGAACTGCATTTATTAATGTTGATGCTCATATCGAGATGGATAAAAATGGAAAGGTTATAGTAAGCAGCGACAATCATATAGAAAAGCTGCCTGGGGAAGGTGATAACGATGAAATATATGTTCCCAAGTCAGTTTGGACTGCCGGATGCTGTGTCGGTACTTCTTCTCCAAATCATGCTATAGAAAGTTTTGCAGTGATCGGTAACAATGTCAAAGAA